ATCATTGTCATCATTGTCTTCATCATATTCATGGTCATCACCACCACCACCACGACCACCAAAATCATCAACAGCAGCATTAACATCATCAGCATCATCATCACTATCAGCATCATCATCATCATCATCATCATCATCATCATCATCAGCAGCATCGTCATCGTCATCAGCATCAACATCAGCATCAGCATCATCATCAGCATCATCATCACCACCACCATCAGCAACATAATCATCACCGTCACCATCACCATCACCGTAGTACCAGCATTACCATGTCCCCCCATCCCATTTCCCCCTACCCATCCTCCCCCTCATTCTACTCGTGGTCCCCTCGGTCCTGCGGTCTCGTACAGAAACGAGTTCTGGGTCAAGAGCTGCACAATGCCCTTGGAGCACGCGGGAAGCAGAAAGGATGAGAGAGGGGAAAGAGGACGAGGAAGAGAAGGCTGAGGCGGAGGAGGCGGAGGCGGAGGAGGCGGAGGCTGAGGCGGAGGTGGAGGCGGAGGCGGAAGAGGAGGACGAGGAGCAGGAGGCGGAGGCGGAAGCGGAGGCGGAGGGGGAGGAGGAGGAGGAGGAGGAGGAGGAGGAGGAGGAGGACGAGGAGGAGTACGAGGAGGAGGAGGAGGAGGAGGAGGAGGAGGAGGAAGAGGAGGACGAGGAGCAGGAGGCGGAGGCAGAAGCGGAGGCGGAGGGGGAGGAGGAGGAGGAGGAGGACGAGGAGGAGGAGGAGGAGGAGGAGGACGAGGAGGAGGACGAGGAGGAGGAGGAGGAGGAGGAGGAGGAGGAGGAGGCGGAGGCGGAGGCGGGGGAGGAGGACCAGGCGAAACCCAGAAGGCATCAACGATGCGGTGCACCCTCCGGCCCAAAAAGGCCCGTCCACGTAAGAAGTCCAACGCCTTCCGTGCACCAAGAGGAGGTATCCCCTGCGGGAAGACGAACGCCCATCGGGCCTGCCAGTCTGCTGTACTGCAAATTTCGAAAGACCCCGCCATCGATGTTCGTCGGGAAGTTCACAGACACGCGCCCGACAGAGCCCACTCTCACAAAAGAGATCCGCCCCGATCCACCAGTGCAACTGCTGCACAAGATTCCGCCTTTGGCCTTGAAGCTGTGCAAATCCGCAATGACAACCCCATTTCTTGAAAAGACAGCACTTGGAACAGGAGATACCCTCCAGCAGTGCAGCTGCTACAGATGTGGATTGCGAGGGCGTATCACGTGAGACCCACTTATCCGCCGACCCCAAAAGCGCGTGAGGTAAAGGAGCGGCACTCCCCACCACGCCCCCACCACGTCTGACCCCTGCCACCTCGACCTCGCGGGCGCCCCAGCCACCTCGACCTCACCCCCACCCGACAAAAACTCGGGTTGGCATCCCACACCGCGCATGACATCCCCAGCCCCCTCGACCTCCTGGGCGTTGCGTTTTTGGGCCTCCCCACCCTGCGAAAACTCGCGTTGGTACCCACGCCGCGCCTGACACCGCCAGCCCCGTAGTTTCCTGGGCCAAAGTTTTCAATGGCCACCCACCTTGCAAAAACCTCGCCGGCACCCCCCACCACGCGCCCAACCACGCCCCCCACCATGCCCCCACCACGCCTCCGCCGCGCCTGACAACGCCAGCTCCCTGGCTTCCTGGGCCTAGGTTCTCAAGGGCCACCCACCCTGCGAAAATCTCGCCGGCACCTCCCACCACGTCCCCCACCACGCCCCCCGCCACGCCCCTCACCACGCCCCCCACCACGCCCCCCACCACGCCCCACCACGCCCCCGCCGCGCCTGACACCGCCAGCCCCCGGTTTCCTGGGCCAAGGTTCTCAAGGGCCACCCACACTGCAAAACCCCGCCGGGACCCCCCCGCCACGCACCCCCCACGCCCCCCACCCCGCCATGCCCCAACCTACGCCCCCAACCACGCCCCCCACCACGCTCCCCACCACGCCCCCGCGCGCCTGACACCGCGAGCGCCCTGGATTCCTGGGTTTCGTATAAAGGCCACCCACACTGCAAAAACCTCGCCGGCACCCAGGACAACGCCCCCCACCACGCCTCCCACCCCCCCCCCGCCATGTCCCAACCACCGCCCCCACCACGCCCCCACCACGCCCCCCCACCACCGCCCCCCCCCCCCGGCGCCTGACACGCCAGCCCCCCGACTTCCTGGGCCAAGGTTTTCAGGGCCACCCACCCTGCAAAAACCTCGCTGGACCCCCCACCACGCCCCCCACCACGCCCCCACACCACGCCACCCCCCCACCACGCCCCCCACCACACCCCCACCACGCTCCTCACCGTTCCCCCCACCACGCCCCCATCACGCCCCCGCCGCGCCTGACACCGCCAACCCCCTGGTTCCCCTGGATTCCTGGGCCTGGGTTTTTTCGTGCAGTAATCGCACGCGTATCCCGCCGGGGCGTCCTGGGCCATTTGAATCACCTTAATTATAGCTGCGTCGTTTTGCTTCTCAGCACACGCCTTCCCGCACGCGCAGCTCTCCTTAGTAATGGGCACCCTGTACGGCAACTGCACGTCCGAATTGAATCGCTGCGCGGCCAGCATGCATGCATGTGCGCCATGTACACTCTCGTGGTTCATTGGTCCATGCAAACTCCCGACGCGGATTTGCGCTGGACCTTCCCTGGCGCGCGGAGAGACCCAGGGGCGGCGCCGGAGGCGCAGTGGAGGAGCCCAGGCGAGGATCCAAGAACTCCGCGCGGAGCGCCGAACGCCAATGTGTATGGATTGTTGTTTTTGTTACTAGCCCCGTCCACTCTTATCGACGCTAATTCGACGCTAATCGACGCTTGCCGACGTTAAATCGGCGCGATCACATGCACTCCCAGATGCCGATCGACGCTTGTCGACGCCAAGACAGACAGTAAAGGCTGCACCAGGCTCCCCTAATAGGCTACCGATCTCGTCCTAGCCTCGGCCACGTCGGCAGAGCAGCGGCACGCCGTCGTGGAGAACATCACGCTGCGCATCGCGCCGCATCGTCGATGCATCGGCGATGCGGAGCGAGCCTCCGACCCCATCTCCTCGGACCCCATCTGGGAGGCCTACGTCCTAGCCCAGTCCTTGGGGGACCCCAGAGGTACCGATACCGCTACTTCTCGGACCTCTCCTGGGTGCATTCTAACCAAGAATTCGAAGCGAATCCAGCGGTGGCAACGAAGGCCACCGAGGAGGCTGCCAGAGGGCACGGGCGAATGGTAAGCGTATGGGTACCTTTCCCTCCTCGGAGTCCCACACATGCGACGTCATGATTTTTTCAGGACGGCGTCCCTGAAAGTCAAAACCCTTTCCCTGGGACCGGTTTTTCGTCCCGAGTGTTTTCTTGGCGTTCCCGAAGCCTGGCGAAGGCCCCACGAGGACGGAAATAGACAAAACCGCCCGTCCTGAGTTTAGTGTTGCCTCCTCCTCCTCCTCCTCCTCCTCCTCCTCCTCCTCCTCCTCCTCCTCCTCCTCCTCCTCCTCCTCCTCCTCCTGTCCGTAGCCCTTTGGGCTCAAGCCGTTCTGTGCTCAAGGCAGCATTGCAAGCACGTACTTCAAAACGGCTCGCGCTTGCGAGACAATATGGGATCTCACGGCCGCCCTTCTGCGATGGCACCGCCTGCCAGCGCCCGCGGCTCGGCGCCCGCTCGCAGCGCCAAGGGGCGCGTGGGCGGCGGCAGCCTGGTATTGGGGCGCGGGACCACCCCGCCATGGCACACCGGGGGCGGCGGCGGCGGCGGCGGCGGCCCGCGGGGCGGCGGCGGCGGCGGAGGCTGGCAGCGGCTGGTCGGCGAGCTGCTACCCGGGCCTCGCTTCCCGCTGTGGGGGCGCCCGTGCAGGGAGGCGCACAACTGGGCGAACCGCATAGCCTGCCGTGTCTGCGGTGGGGCAGCGTTGGTGGCGGTTCGCCAGCGCGCGCTGCAAGCGGCCTCCGAGGCCCGTGCGCCCGCCAAGGCCAAGCAGGCTGCCAAGCCCAAGGTCTCGGAGCCCAAGCGGAAGAACGACGGTGAAACGGTCACGGCGGACCATGTTGTGTCGGCGGCCGCTCTGGCTGCTGGACTGGCGGCCCGCGGCATCGCGCTTTCCTGTCCGAGGAGAAGCCCCCTCCTGAGCCCAAGAAGCTGGCGACGCACCATCAGCTGGTGCAGCGGGCGATGTGGAAAGAAAAGCGGGCCTCCGAGAGGTTCGAGCGCAGCCTCCAGAGAGTCCAGGATGCTGAAGAGGCGCAGGAGGCGGCCAGCGCGGCGCTGTCCGAGGCCGCGCGCGCCGAGGAGGAAGCCCAGTTGGTCCTTGCGACGGCCCAGGCAGACCTGGATTCGGCGCGCGTGGCCGAACAGGTGGGGCTGCCGCCAGGCAGCTTGGCCCCCGGCGCGGACGTCGCCAAGCTCGCCATCGCCCAGCAGGCCGTCAAAGCCTTGGAAGGGCTGGAGCTTCCCCCCGAGCTCCAGGGAGCCGCAGGGGGCCTGGTCGGCCTCCTCGGGGAGCAGCTCGATGCCGCGGCTGCTTCGGGCGCTGCCGACGCTGTTGCTCCTCCTGGCGCTGGCGACGACGGCGCCGGCGACGACGACGTCGACGACGACCTTATGGGCGACGACGTCGCTGGCCTCGCCGAGGCCGCGTCCAACCTCGACGCCGCCAAGCGCAAGCAGATGGAGGAACTGTCGGGGGCGCCCTTGCCCAAGCGGGCCTGCTTCCAGACCACTGGGAAAGAGCCGGGCGCGCGTGACCCGACCCCTGGCGAGGACGCAATGGCCCTCCTCGTCGCCACGGCTGGACGCAGCTCGAAGAACTGGCGCGTCTGCTGCGGCCCCGCCGCTGCGGGTGGCCACCTACAATGGGAACACTTGGAGTTCTGAGCGGGAGCTACTCGAGTGGCTCCAGCACGACAAGGGCGCCGCACCCGACGTCGCGATGTTCCAGGAGCACTGGCAGCGCGAGCGGGCCCATGCGAGGGGCCGCGCGGTTGGGCCTGGAAGGAAGGATTCTTCATGCATGCCGTGGAGGCCCTTTCGACGGGAGACGGGCCGCTGGATACTTCGGCGGGCGCTGCCTTATTGGCCTCGGCTCGCTGGGGACCGCGCGCGGTCGAATGGAGGTTCGACGAGGGCGCGCACAGAATCGCCTTGCAGCAGGTCGAGCTGGACGGCCTCTCCCTGATCGCGGGCTCGGTCTACTTGGTCGACGGCGTCGGCCTCGCGGAGCCCAATCTGACCATCCTCGGGGAGCTGGGCGAGGCGCTGGCCGCCCAGCAGAGGCCGTTCCTGCTCGGTGGCGACTGGAATGCCGACGCGGGCGACTTCGCGGAGCTTGCTTGGGTCTCCGACCTCGAGGCGGCGGCCCTGGCGCCCGACCAGCCCACCATCAACGACAAGCGATGCGACTTCTTCCTCGCCAGCAAGGTGCCGGCGCCCTTCGCGCAACGCGCGCACCTGGCTGGACGCGCCGCGCGGGCCTCACGCCATGGTGGAGGCGCAGCTGCGCGGTCTGGCGGGTCGCGCGCCGGTGCGGCAGAAGGCCCCCATCAAGGGCTTCAAGATCCCGCGGAAGGACGAAGCCTACGTCTGGGGCGACACCAGCGGCTGGGCCCCTGAGCGGTCTTGGGAGCTCGGCCAGCCCCCGCCCTCCCTGCAGCAAGCGGCGGGGGAGTGGTTCCGAAGGGCCGAGTCTTTCCATTGCTTGTTGCACTCGGCCCCCGAGGCGCGGCAGGCGGCCCACCGCGGGCGTCGCCTCAGCTGCCGAATTCAGAAGGCATCCTTGGACGTGGCCTGGGCGCAGACGCCGGCCCGAGGGGCCCCCCGGAAGGGGCAACGTTGGCTCATTCAGCCTCCGACGGCTCGTGCATCAGCATGCCCAGGCCGCGGGGCGCCAGGACCCGGCGCTGGCACGCCGCCTCGCAGAACAGGCCGGCCACCTAGCTGCGGCCTTGCAGCCCGCCAGGGAGGAGTCGTTGCAGGGCATTTCGATTCCGCGGCTGCCAGAGCAGGCGCCGCGGCTCGCCGGGGCCCTCGATCGCGAGCGCGCAGCCGCCGCCGGTAGTTCTCGGACCCGACGCCGATGGCCCGCCTGCGGCGGAGGCGCCCGGGCTGCGCAGGGCGCCCTAGCTTGGCGGGGCAGGCGGCGCCAGAGGCGGAGCTGCACACCCGGCTGCCGCTCGGGGCCAAAGCGCCAAAGCGTCACGGCAGGCGGAAGCGCACCCATTGAACTGGGACGTCGAGATGGGGCTTCTACCGATCACAGCGGCCGGTCTCCGCCAGACAGCGGAGACTTTCCCTGGTGGCACGGCCTTGGGGTGGGACTCTTCCCACCCGAGGCTCCTTCTGCAGCTGCCCGATGAGATGCTGCAGCGATTGGCAGAGGTACACAACGAGTTCGAGCGGCGGCCCGACGTCGGGCCGCTGCGGCTGGTTATGGTCATATTCCTGGAGAAGGCTACGGGCGGCGTCCGGTCCATTGGGCTCATGCCTCTGATGGCGCGCGTCTGGAGCCGGATTCGGCACTGCTGGCGCGCCGACTGGGAGAGGCGCCTGGATTGCCGTTTCTGGGAGGTGGACTCGCGCACCGCGTGCGACAAGAGAGCGCGCGTGCACAACGCGCGGGCTGCGTTTGCCTCCCAGCGCGGCCTCGCCTCGGCCACGGCCTTTCTGGACATGGCCAAGTACTGCGAGCACGTCTCGCATTCGGAGCTGTTGCATGCCGCCCGGCACGCAGATTTCGACGCCGGGCTCTTGCGGTGCCTGCGCTGCTACTACCGCGCCCGCAGGCGCGCGGTGCTCCAGGGTGCTGTCAGCCGCGAGGTGGTCGTGAACGGCGGGGTCATAGCTGGCTGCTCATGAGCCACGTCGCTGGCCCGCCCCACGCTCCTGGCGGCGCTGAAGCGCGCGGCGGCCTGCGCCCCCATGATCTCCGTCAAGAGCGCGATCGACGATATCTCCCTCCACGGGGTCGGCGGGGAGAGCACGGTCACGCAGCAGCTGGCGACGGGCTGCGATTCGGTCAAGCAGGACGCGGTGGCCCTGGGCTTGCCGATCGCAGACCGCAGGACGGGCTTCCTCGCCAGCTCCACGGCTCTCGCGGAGGCGCTCTGCGAGCGCTGGGACATCAGCATGGAGCAGAGATCGCACTCCCATCGCGACCTGGGGGGCGACGCGACGGCCGGGCGCCTGCGGCGCGTGGGCGCGCAGAGCCAGCGGTTCGCAAGAGCTCAGGCTCGCGGCGCACGCCCTGAGCAGCTTCGCCGGGCAGGTGCGCCGATCGCGTCTGTCCACCGCGCTGGTCCAAGCGCTATGGCTTTGTGGGGCACCGCGGTCCAGGGCGTGCCGAACGGCACGCTCAAAGGATCACGGGCTGCCGCGCTCCGTGCCGAGGGGCGCCTCCCTCGAGGGGCCTCCCTTGGGCTAGCCATGGCTAGCTGGCGCGCCCGCTGGAGGCGCGACCCGTTCGTGTTAGTCACGGCGCTGGCCATCCAGACGTACGCCGAAATGGTTTGGAACGGCGTCTTCCAGCGGCCCCTGCTGCAGGTGCTATTGGATGGCGCTCGGCAGCTGGCCACGCAGCGCTTCCCTCGGGTGGGTTGTATCAACCCGATCACGGCGCCGGCGCTCACCCCGCAGCGCGTCGGCTGGAGCTTGGACGACCCGTTCACGCTGAGGGGGCGAGAAAGGCCACCGCTGGGACCTCCAAGAGTTTTCGCCGGCCTTCTTCCGTCTCAAGGCGCAGGAGGCGGCCTGGCAAGCTTCAGACATTCACGCCATGGGCCGCTTGGTCAGGCCTGGCCGCCGCAGCCGGGTTGCGCCCGTTTTCCGGCGCCCCCTCAACGAGCTGCTGCACGCCCCCGCTGAGCGAGGCTGGAGCCTCCATCACAAGCGGGCTCAGCGAGGCCTGCTCTGCGGCAAGCATTGGTGCCAGGCCCGCCTCTGCCGGGAGGGGGAAGGGCTGGGGCTGTCCGACCTCTGCCAGTGCTACCGCGGCTTTCCCTGCACCCTGCATCATAAAGTTTCCCAGTGCCCAGCGCACCACGCCTGGAGGGCGGACAATCTTGACCCAGCAGTGCGCGACGCCGCCGCTCGACTGCTGGAGGGCGGGGAGGAGGCCGTGGAACGTTTTGCACGAGTGCTCTTGCCTGATCCTGCCCAATGTTTTCGGCGGCCGCCGCTGCCGCCTGGCGCCGAGCTCCAGGCGGACCGCTGGCCGCTGACTGGACTCATGCTCGACGGCGGGCACATTTCCAGCGATGGAGCTTGCTTCGACGCCGAATTCCCCACCTTGAGGGTGGCTGGTTGGGCCGTGGTTGCATCCGACGCCGATGTTTGTTCCTTGGGCTCTCTGCGCGGGGTGGTACCCGAAATCTTTGCCCGTCCCAGTCCGCCAGGGATGGGGAGGACTACATGCTGTCCTGATGGCGTCAAGGCGCGCCGCCGGCCGCTACACGCTGCATTCAGACTGTAGTGCCACTGTCGCGCGCGGGCAAATGGCGCCAGGCGGCTGCTGGCGATGCGCTCGAGGACGTGACCTTTCTCCAAGGATCTCGCGCACGCGACGAAGAACGACGTCGTGGAGGGGCGAATCGCGGCTTGGCAGCGCGACGGGAATCACGCGGCCGACGCCTTAGCAAAGGCTGGGGCGGCCGAAGGCTGGCTGGCCGAAAATGACCGCGCTTTCCTTTTCGGTTGCATCCGTCTTGCGTGGCTCCTCACCCGATACACGGGGCGCATGGAGGCCGTGCTGACAGAAGCCGGCACTCGCAACCATCAAGGCCTCGAGGCCCTCCGCACTGTTGAATTCGAGGTGGAGGGGTGGTCGGGGTCGGAGGGCGAGGTTGGGGGAACTCGAGGAGAATCGCGCGCTGACGCTGCAGGCGCTGGCTCGGCCCCGGCGGCGAACGCAGGCGCGGCCGCGCTTCCTGGCTCGGATCCCGAAGCCCGCGCTGACACTCTGGCTCAGGTTAGTCCCTGGCGCGTGCGCGGGCACAGCCTGCTTGCTGCCCAGATTCGCGAGTGGCGATGCCCAGAGGGTGGACCCTGCGGCGCGTCCTCATCAATGCTGGTTTGCACGACGTGTTGGAGTCACGCCACGTGCCCTGGTTGGGGCCATGGGTTCTTAGCGCCCTTTCCGCCCAGGGACGGTGAGCCACCTCCGAGAGCAAAGAATGCACGCAGCCGCGTCGGCCGTGGGATGCACCCCCACTGGGCCTGGGATGCGGCCATCGACGAGGCATGCAGCCCGTCGGAGGCGGCACGGGCGTCCTGGGCCAGCCATTTCGGATCGGAAGGCGCCGCAGGGGGCCCCGTGGCCCTCACCGCCGAGCCTCCGCTAGGCCCTCCTGTTCGGTGGGGCGCGCCATGCCCAAGAGTGGCACTGAGCGGTGCCTTACTGGCATTCGGATTCCGCACGCGCGGCCAGGCTAAGGAGCTTGGCCGCGAAGCGCAGCGGCTGGCCGCGGAGCGGGCCAGCCGGCTCGCAGCCACGAGTGCCATCGAGGAGGGATAGTTGCTGTGGACCTCCCCCTATTCCTCCTCCTTCTGGAGTCGCGCACCTCCTCCTCCTCCTCTTCCGCCTCCTCCTCCTCCTGCTCCTCCTCCTTCCTCCTCCTTCCTCCTCCTTCCTCCTCCTTCCTCCATCCTCCTCCTTCCTCCTCCTTCCTCAACCTTCCTCCTCCTTCCTCCTCCTTCCTCCTCCTTCCTCCTCCTTCCCTCTCCTTCCTCCTTCCCCTTCCTCCTTCCTCCTCCTCTTATTATTATTAGTATTATTAGTTTTGTTATTATTGATAGTGCTATGATTAGTACTATTGTTATGTTTAGTATTCGTAGTATTACTAATATTATTCATAATATGCTTATTAGTAGTATTGCTATTATTCTTTGTATGGTTCGTATTATTATGTGCATTCGTCATATTATTGTTCGGCTTATTATTATTATTCTTAGTATTATTATTCTTATGATTAGTATTATTCGTCTTCTTCTGCTTATTCGTCTTATTCTGCTTCTTAATATTATTAATCTTATTTTTCGTCTTATTATTCTTCTTAGCACTCTTATTATTATTATTATGATTATTATTACTATGCTTATGATTATTATTATTATTATTATTCCTCCTCCTCCTCCTCCTCCGCCGCCGCCGCCGCCTCCGCCTCCGCCTCCGCCTCCGCCTCCGCCTCCTCCTCCTCCTCCTCCTCCTCCTCCTCCTCATCCGCCTATGGCGTGATTTTACCTGCACCGGGGTTGAAGTTTTCTCGAAGCCTTCCACGAAAACCCCGAGGATCGCCCACGCGACAAAAGACGGGGACCACGTGAGGTGAGAACCGAAGCGCATGAAACCGGGGTTGCAAGGAGATCTCAAGCGAAACGAACAGTCCACGGTAGCTGCAAAAACCCAGAACAACGAGGAACGGGATCGGATACCGTGAGACAAGAGCACCGACGAACCCAGCAGAAAGAGCATGGATCGGGCGAAGACGGCTGGACGACCGCAGGCCAGGTCATATCCGAGCCCAGAGTTGTGAGGAAGTGTGGAGCGAAACTGGCTGGACCAGTTCAGATCAGGGCATCCATGAGCCCTGAGGTGCGAGAGCGTGCGAGGAGAAGCTGGAGGAATCTCTCGCGTGCCTCGAAGCCTACCACTGCGAGGCTGCCGGAAGCCAACAGGCCTGGACCGCCGCAGGACGGCGGCGCGGCATCTCGGAGCCCACAATTGCAGGGATGTCC